TATAGTATACTATACCTATATCAAAGAAAGCTCCAGTGAATTTAACAACACCCATATTTCCAAGGCTAGAAATGGAAGATTGCAATGCGAGCTCCCTCCTGCTGGTAATCCAAACTTCCGTAATCAAAATCCACACAACCAAAAGAGAGCGACCGCACTTCCGCTTATCACCCCCTCCCCTAATTACTTTTACCCAGCAGTGTCTCCATGCAAAGGAAAAGAATGGCACAAAATATGTGATCATTTTTTAAACCAGTGGCAAAGAGCTCTATCGCAAGCTCAACTGGAATTCAATTGGTGGGGTTTTTTCCCCCCTAACAACACTGTGCACGAATCTCCCCACTCACCAACCGTTAAAAAAAAAAACTTTTGACAAGCCAAGCCAGTTGGTTAAGATGCAGGCGATGTTGGGGGACGGGCAATTGAAATGGCATGTGCCCCTCTCCTGGGCATGACCCGAGAAAACCGCGGCACTAAAACCATGACATCATCAAAGCGACATCATCGCTTTGATCATCAACGCAGCAACAACAGCATGCCGACAGAAGCGCGATTTAAGTTAAGGTAAGGGTTAGGTTTAGGTTTAGGTTTAGGTTTAGGTTTAGGTTTAGGGTTAGGGTTAGGTTTAGGGTTAGGTTTAGATTTAGGGTTAGGTTTAGGTTTACAGCGCGCTTCTGTTGCTGTGCTGTTGTCGCCGCGCTTCAGCGCTCATTCGTCAGCGCGCTTTAGAACTCATGGTTTTGTGACCGCAGTTTAGTCGGGCGCGCTTTTGTCGTTCGCCCTTTTGTCAGTGAACCCTCCTGGGAGGAAGGCAGTGATTGGAGGGGAGGGTGGTGACGTTGCTTAAAGGGAAACCTGCAGCTATTTCCAGGTTTGTTTGGGTAATTTCGTCCTTCTGCCCACACTGATGGGCTTTAAACAGTCCATCTTCTGCTCAGCAAATTTCTCCTTTCCATCTGAGAATTAGCTAAGGGGAAGCTACCAACTTAGGGGCGACGCCCTCTGCAGCCAACACAATACACGATCTTTTTTCCTCACACTCTTAGCGCACCCCTGCCGCCGTCCCTACCACTCCCCTTGCCTCTTAGCACCCCCTAAATCATCTCCCCCAGGGGGCGGTACCGCCCACTTTGGGAACCACTGAAATAGATGTTACCCAAGGCACCAAAAGAAGCAAAAGAGAACAAGATCAGATTCTCT